AAAATTAAACCTTTAATATCATATATGCTAAAGACCTAGTCTTATAAATTGGTCTAAACAGAAAAGAAAACAATATTTTAGATCAGATCATACCAGTAGGATTAAATAATACAAGACCAATTCTATAATTAACTTATGGACTGGTCCTAGAACTGATTTATAGATCAGTCTAGTTCTAAGAAAGATGAAAGACTGGTCTTTTTAGACTAGACTGAACTGGACTGGACTGATTCAACCCTAGTCATCAGATTGATCAGAAAATCCAATTTCTATCTAGTTAATCTTGTGATATAAATGGATCAATCTGAATCTAGTCAAATTTTAGATGAATAATCGAATATCTAGATTGATTAGATTCAGAGCATACCTCTGATACAAGCTTAATCTTACCTCTTCAATCAAGTTTGGATAAGATCAGATTTTCTTTCTTTTCAGATAATTATTTATTTTAGATAATAAATTTCTATTATTAAAAAAAAATTAAATTATTTTAATATTTTACTAAGTAAAAGAAAAAGAAGAAATATGATTAGCTGAATTTAATTTTTTATAAAAGTTTTGCTAGATATTTAATAGAATTACATCCTATTATTAAGAAACCTATATGAAATTTTATCAAATAATATATCTATAGTATAAGCTCAATTCTACCTTTTCAAGTAAAACTTTTTCTTTTCAAATTATTATTTTAAGTAAATTTCTATTTTAAAAAAAAATAAAATAAAAAAAGTTAGTATTTTACTAAGTAAAAGAAAAAGAAGAAATACATTCAAATTATTTTTTTTATTAAAATATCTAATTTTATTATCTTCATTAAAAAATTTTTTAAAATTTTTTTTTTGATTTTTACAACATATTTTTTAAAAAAACTATTAATTCTAAGTAGTATTATTAAAAAAATCCTTTGTTTTATTTGTAAATATAATCCAAAAAATATTTCAGAATTATTTATTTCTGTATTTAAATAAAAAATAAAAATAATAGTTGAGTGTGAGTAATTTTTGTGATTAACTACTTTCTAAAGAAGATTAGCTAAAACTAATAAATCATTTTAAAATACTCTAGATTTTTTAAAATATTATACAATAAATGTCACCATAATATATCAGTAATAGAAAATGAACTTTTCTTACATCTACTTTAAATATTGAACTTTAACACAAAAAGTTTTTATTTTTATTTTTATTTTTATTATTGATTTTATCATTATTATAGTGAATTAATTATGATATTAATATCTAAAAATAAAAAAAAAAAGGATTAATGCATAAGTAATTATTCAAAAATTCATATTTCACATTTGCATAATAGAACTATTTCTTAGATCCTTTTATCACTCATAATATATAAAATATCATTAAAATTTAATTATTTGATATTAAATAATATTGAATGCAATAAGTACCTTTCTTAATAATATAGATCAAATCTTAATATAAAAGAACTCTTTGTTTTAAAAAGCTCACAACATATTGTATATTTATTGACATTAAGGTTGCGATCTTTTTCTTTCAATTTTGCCTTAAGTTTGCCTGCTGTAGTAAAATGATTATATTGCAGAATTTTTTTAATATGATAGCGTTAATTTGAAGCCAATTTTCTTAGACAGCCAGAAGAGTGACCAATAGAAATTTTGTCAGTTTTATTTAATAAACTGATATATCATTCACATATGCATAAAGGAATACACAATCAATTAAAAATTTCCTTTGCATTATCCACTTTTTAGTTCCAAAGTGACTTAATAGAATTTCTTTGTATTTTTAAAGAGCTTGGCATAGTTTTAGAAAGGAAATCAAAATAAAAACAAACAATAAACCTTATTTTTTTAACTTACCTTTTTAATTCAGATTCTAATGTTTAATTTAAGCATATAAATAAATGCCTAAATTTAGAAAGTAGTGAAAATGCAGTTTAAAATAGATGCAGTCTTCCACTGTTATTCTTTTCACTGAGAACTATATGTTAAATAATTTTATATATAATTGTTTTATCAATTAGTCTGATCAAAATGCTAAAATTACACTGTAAAATTAAAAAACCCACATGTATGGACTAGTAATTTTAATAAAAAGTAATTATATCTCTATAATATTCAAATTAGCTGATAAAAATTTAATATCTGAATATCTTTATACTAGCTGAATAATATTACTTATGCTTTTTTTATCTGTTTTATTTAATAGAAAAATCTAAACAAAATATTACAAGAAATAAGCATAATCCTATGAATATTTAAGCTAACTTAATAAAAATTGATATATGATTACTTTCATATCTATTAAATAACTTTACTTATATTTATTTTGATAGTTAAGTTTAATCAAAATACTGAAATTATGCTGTGAAATTAAAAAAGATGATATGTAACATAGTTGTTAGAATAGTTTTATATTTTATAAAATGAAAATATTAACAAGTAAAAAATTAAAAAATTTAAAAAATAAAAGGTTATTATAAAATAAAAGAAAAGAAAAAAAGTAAGTAAGACAAGAAGAAAGAAAACATAAATACTTATTTTTGTCATATAACAAATATAAAAATACAGAAATAATCTAAAATTACTAAATTAGATAATTGGATTTAAATTAATTAACCTGAACTTTAAAGGTCTAAAATAACTAACCTGAATCTCAGTTTAGGTTAAGTTTTCTCATAAATATATTGCTAATTTTAGGTTATATGCTATTTTTATCACATTTGTTTCTATTTATTAACTACTTTTTTTTATTTATATAAAATATGTTAAAATAGTCAAAGTAATTAGTACAAAATAAGTTTCAAAATATACAATTTTACATAAAAAAATTTTTAAATATGATAATAATATTATCTTGTGTAAATAGTAAATATATTGTATTTTATATATTTTCTGCAAAAATATAAAATATAAATATAATTATATAGAGACTAATCTATTAAAATCATCTTACAGAATAAGAAGTAAATGATGATTAAAATGCTATATTATAGTAAACATTTTCAACCAATAATAAATTATTTTATTTTTAAATATTGAATTAAATTAATTAATAAAATGATATTAAATTTATTATTTAATATTTTTATTATTAAATTATTATTTTATAATTTTAAAAATTTTTTGTTATTATAAAAATTATTTTATAAGACTAATTTTTATAATATTTGAATACAATTTTGTAAAACTTGAGATTTTGCTATTAAAATTATCTTACAACCTTATAAAAATATTTATTCATTAAATATTCAAAAAAATACATTTGTTTTTATCTATTAAAAGTAATGAATTATGAACCTAAATTAAATATTTTATGGATATAATTTTGTTTAATTTTAATTCAATATTTGTATTATAATATTTAAAAATCATCAAAATTTTATTACTAATTAAATATAAAATGTAATGAAAAAACTAACTTTTATTTAAAATTATTTGCAAGGTGAATAATATTTGTATATATTATTTAATATTTTAATGATATAATTTAAGTATAATGAATGTATAAAATTCTGCTACTTATATCATTTTTTATATTTAAAATAGAATTACAATAATTTGTAATTATATAATAAATATTTGCATTTTCATTTGCATTTATACTTTAATTACTTTGTTCTTTTTGATGCAATTTGATCTATAAGGTAATATTAGTATATCAGTTTCATTAGAGATTTTAATATAAATTGATTTATATGATAAAGTATATTCTAATATATTAACTTTATTAAGAACTGTGTGTTAGTGAGAATCTTATTAAAATAATCATAAAAAAATTAGTGATTTATAATTAATAACTAAAATCTAAAGTATTATAAGATATACATATTACTAGCATTAGAAATCTTTGATTTTTTTTTAGATAATTTTATTATCTCTGTAAACAAAGTTTCTTCAGGATTATTATTTAAATTATTAGTTGTAATTAGTAGGATATCAGTTTTGATATTCACTTGAATTCTTTAGTCTTTATTTATATTTGATTGATTATATTCTATATAATTAAAATTTAAGTCACATGTTAATTTTAGACTTTTATGAGATATATCATATAAAAAAATCCTGAATTTTCATAAACTAATACAGTTGGATCATGAGAATTTAAAATTTACTTTGCCCAGCCTAACAGCTAAACCTTGTTTTCTTTGTTTAATAATCCAGTTGTATAAAAAATCTTTTGCTTTAGAACCAAAAGCTTTTCTTCTGAAACTCTATTTATTACTTTATTTTATTTACCTTTTTATTATTGAAACCAGCAATATTTTTTAAGTATATTTAACTAATATTAATTTTTAATTTTTTTTTTTTAAATCTCAAATACAAATTATAAAATAAGACTTTTTTTTTTAACTAAAACAAAGAAAAAAATGAGTAAGTAAATAAGTAAAAAATGAATAAAAACCAGTATGAGAATAAGTGATTAAAAAATAAAATATTAAGCAACAATTTTGTCGATCACATGACTGTAAAAAGGTGATCGGTAAATATTTTATGCGAAGGACTATATATTTTTGTGCATTGAGTAAATTTTGGTCATGTGAGCGTTTCTCTATCACGTGATTTTTGTCTAATAATTCGCTCAGGACGATCCCGTTTCCTAGTAACATCGATAAACGATCGGCACTTGCGTCACCAAGACAATTTTCTTCGAAATTTTTTTCTTTTCGAAATAACATCAAAATTATATATGTGATATTTTTACTCACGTCAAAAATTTGACAACTGCATTTTTTTGTAAAATGCACATGCCTTTAAACCCTATAATCGGTAAGCCCGACTTAAAACTGATCGTGAGAAAATTATAACATGCACAAGCTCGTGATAGAAAGACTATTATTTGTCACGCAAATTTAGGTGCAACAATCTCCGGTTTCAAATAATTAATTTCCATGCAAGGAAAGAAATTATGTTCCCCAATATAATAAAACAAAAGGCCCTCGATTCAAATATAAATAGACATCATTTTCTCATACAAATTCATTTTACTAGTTCTTGACGTTTAAAATTTAACCAAGGAAAAATGCCGCCGGAATTTTATGATTATGAAAGCGAATCACAATCTTTTCAAAAATTTAATGATTTAGTTGGACCATTATTTACGAATGATAATGTAGATGCTAAAGCAACTCCCGTGGTTTTCGTTGAAGGTTTTATGGGTCCTGGAAAACCTGCTTATTGGGGTCCACTTGAAAAAATATTAGCTTCTTCCAATGATCAAAATAATGAAATAAAGTTAAAGAGTAGACGATGTATTTTTGTTTTTCCTGGATGTGGAAGTTCTTTACATGATAGAGCTGTCGAAATCTTTTATCAAATAAAAGGCGGAAGAGGTATTTGATTGTATGTATTTATGCTGCGCCTAGTTGTTAATTCTATTAGTAAATCATAAAAAAAAAAAACTTTTTATGGCACAGTTGATTATGGTGAAGAACACTCAAAAAAGTTCGGCCATTCCCGTTATGGACGTGAATATTCAGGTTATTATAATATATATCATAATATATTTTATTTATATATATTTTTTATAAATTGAATCACGTGACAAATTATTTAGGTTTATATCCGGAATGGAGTGTATCGAAACCTTTGCACTTTTTAGGTCATTCTCTTGTAAGTTTCAAATAATTTTTATTTTTTAAAAAAAAATAATAATTTTTCGCTTCTTTTCATTTTGTCATCTTTTACCTTTAGGGTGGTATAACAATATGGAAACTTCAACAACTATTAGATAGTGACACTTTCCCCGCTCATCTTAACCCACATCCCGACATGATTCGTTCTCTCACTACAGTATCATCTCCATTCAAAGGTCAATTTCTTTATAAAAGAAAACCTCTACCTTTCTAATAACTTATAGTTTTAATTCTTCATTATTTTATAGGAAGCCAAGGGGTATATATTTTAGGAGCTACAACCGATGGAACAGTTCGTCCCTTTTCTTTTGGTGCTTGGCTTGGTAGATTCGTTCATATTTACGAATATTTGGATATTAAATGGTTAAGAATGATTTATGATTTCAACGTAGATCATTGGAATTTAAGTTTTCGTAAAAATTGGGATTTTTCTTCATACTTGTCATGGAATTCCAACAAGGCTACAATTACTTCGGATGAAAAAAGTGTAGAACTAATCCAAGAAACGACAAATACATTGAGTAAAGCATATGGTTTATTACAATGTTTATATAAAAGTCCTTGGTTAAATTCTGTAGATAATGCTCCGCATGATATGACTATTCATGCTATGAAAGAAGTTAACGTTACAAGTAAAACTTTTGAAAAAACATTTTATAGAACTTACGTCTCATCTATTGTAAGTTATAAACAATGCGGTAATAATTTATCATTTGTTATTACTAATTTAAGATTTTATTTCTTCTTAGACATATGAAGATCCTATAAGCAAATATCATCGGCCACAATTTTCATTTTCTCTTCCAATTCCTTGTTATTTTCTCTCTAAACATATTGGAGAGTTTCAATTTCCTGAAAACACATCAAATCCTCCAGTTTTATCCAAAGAAATGTATAAATGGCATGAAAATGATGGTGTTTGTCCGAAATATTCCCAAACACATCCCCATTACGAATGTTCACCAGATAAATGTAAACATCATAAAGGATTACCCGAATTAAATATGGACGCTTCTTCATGTGATATTGAAGCTGGTAAATGGGATGTTTGGGAAATTAATAATACATCTCATTTTAGTATTATACCTGTTTGGTGTGGAACTAAAAAACAACTATTATTTTTTAATGGCTATAAAGAATATTTAGATCAATTAGATAGATTATAATATTATTTATTTACGTAATACTTAATGTAAAATATTAAATTGTGGGTACTTAATTGAAGGAATAAATCTTGAAAAGCGATTTGATTATATAATTCATAGATGAACTCATTGTCTTAATTTTAATTGACAGCTACTAATATTTTCGCACAATCGATAAATTTTCTTTTCATTTGTAATTTAATACTGACTTTTGTCTTAAATAAAAAAAAGTTCTTGTATTATTAAAAGAAGGAAACTACTGAAGAAAAGCAAATTTACTTTTTATGTTTTTAGACCTGTACAATATATAATCAGGAAATTGAATTTTGACTGTAAAATGCTAATCTTTTTAATAAATTAAACAAAATAGTTTTTTTATATAAATTTTCAATAATAACTGAAATGAAATTTCAAAAATATAGCTATTTTATATCTATTGTAATAAGATTCTGACTATTTATTATATTAAAATACTATTTAAATAAAGATTTTAGTAATAAATAAAAGTTATAATATCTGCCAAAAAATATATACTATAATGATTTATAACTTTTATAGATTTAAGATTTGATAAACCAATTTTATTTCAGCAAAAACCTGATATTAATTTTATATATAATATCTATAGTAAGGACCTTTTTAGCTTATATCTGTGAATTTTTTAGCAAAGATAACTGGATAAATTTGGCAAAAAGTTAATAATTATAAATATCATTTAAAAAATAAAAAAAAAAAAATATAGGATAATTAAAATTCTGTAAAAATGTATAATGATTTCTAAAAGTTAATA